TAAATATAGCACATCTTAAGACTATATTTCTTCATATATATATATATATATATATATATATATATATATATATATATATATATATATATAATATATAAAATATTGATATCACGTTTCAACAGATAATATATTTACCGAAATTATGCAAAATAACTTGTAATACTAAAGAGTAAATTTATTTAATAAAAACATCATTGGTCTCAACGACAACCTCCAGATGACTTTGGAATCTCCTGCAACTCTTCTGGATGGTCTCCTTGTTTAAGTTGGTGAATACTGCTATTATCCTGGCCTTCAGTTCATCTTTGGTGTTACAAGGAGTTTTTGTTGGTCTCTTGCACAACTGCACCCCCACACATAATAATCAAGAGGGTTGCAGTCTGGGGAGTGAGGTGGCCAGATGTAAGGAGTGATGAGGTTGCAGAAATTGTCTAATAGCCATAACTGGCTTCTCCTGATTGTGTGGCATGTTACAGAGATCTGTTGACAGATATAGGGTCTTCCAGCAGTCATCTTCTTGACCCAGGGCAGCACTACCTCTTCAAGTGACTTGATATTGGCCTCTGTGTTAAGCCTTTGAAAGTTCTTTTCTTATCAGGATGATCAGAGTGAATTTTTCAAGCTGCTATACCCCTTTGTAATCACCATTAGACTCATTCTGAATCCTCTGCACTGTCCTCAAACTGACACCTAAATACTCATGTATAATAAATGTTTATATTGAAGTTTCTGGTGTGAATGCCAAGCAGTACAGCATGCCATTTCCAAATTTCTGGTGAAGTGAATTGCATCATGGTACTCTTATTCACACAGATGGTGCCCAACTGACCCTACTATACTGTTCAGTTGTCAAAATCAAAAACAAATAACATGCCTGCACGCAATTAAAATATAAAATGGCAACAATTTATCCACCACACTCTGTATCTCTCTCTCTCTCTCCCTATATATATATATATATATATATATATATATATATATATATATATATATGTCAATGTATACATATATATTTTCAAGATGTACATCTGCATCTTCACAAAACTATCATTCCCTGTTGTTGGCAAATATATACATTTTCATGTCCATGTGAAAATGTCAGTCACTAGTGTTCATGTTATAAAGTAATTAGCACTTAATGCTATTTCCAAATCAGCATAGACATATTGTAGCATACAAAACAAACTATTTTGCAATATATTTTTATTATATTGTGTGTTGTGGGTGTCATTATAATAGCACTCTTGAGAAATCATCATCAGCATCTTTCTAGTCATTTATTTCCAGCCAATGGTATTTTTCCTCAAACTGAGCCAGCACAGCCAGACAACAGCGCTTTTACAATGTTCACTTTTAATCTCAGTCTTATTTTTAGAATGCACTCTGTCAGTACATTTTCTTATTGATTCATTTTCTACAGCTTATCAACATTTTGCAGGTTATTTAAAACCAGAAAATATTTTTAAATTGTAAAAATTTGTTTTGGAGGTAATGATTTACTGATACAAATCTTACTAATTAACCCATAGTTGGGGGGAGAAGAGGTGGATTCATACCTTTCCCAAGAGTATTTGCACGTAAGTGAATATAACAAATCCAACAGGAATTGAAACTTGGCTCTTCGATTAACAATTCCAAGCTATTATCTATTACACCACCAGCACATCGAAGCTTACAGCCCCTGGTATTCCTACATAGTCACCCATGTAGCTTGACATTGCTTAACTTTGCTGATTGTATGGGAACCAATGTTTCTTCATGATGTGGTCATAATCCTTAATACATTTTCTGACTCTTAAAGTAAGAAGTGTAAATTGGAAATAAAGAAAAGCCATTGACAAGGTTTGAAATTTATCACCTCTCTTTGGAACATATCTCATGTAGATTTGAGCTTAACCAGTTGAACCATAATCAGCTACACAAAGGAAATGCTACACTTATATCATGATGCTTCTGCTCAAGTGATTATTCCTGTTTTGTTGTTTGTTTTACATTTAGTAGAAAAAATACAGTATTGTTAATTTATCTTAAATTCTTTGATTAAGTCTCTTTCTTTATCTTTATTCATTTTTGTCTAGGCTTTCGTTTATCTCTTGTTGCTTTTTATCACAACGGTCGAGCACTTTACATTCTATGACTATAAATGAAAGTAGCTGAAAAAAAGGTGATCTCATTTGGCAGTACAAGTTGGCCATTTTAATTCCTGTATCATTGGAAATTTCTGGTTGAGCGATTTTGCTAAATTTTGCCAAGTCAATTCATAAACAAAATTTACAAAAAACTTCTTGTTGTCTGAATATTTTTACCACACTCTGCATTCAACTGTGCCATTTATTCACTTCCATTATATATATATATATATATATATATATATATATATATATATATATATATGTATGTATGTGTGTGTGTTTTCTTCATTTTGCATAATAAAGAACTGAAATTAAATTTTTCTGTTTTTGAGTGTAATAGGTTCATTAAAATAACTCCACATAAACTTTCTAGTACAGTGTCTGCAAATCATCTTTTGGCAGCAAGCCTGAATACAGAATTTCATATTTTGCCTGATCATCATCAGTATAATCTGCTTAATGTCTTGGTCTTGTGGTGCACAAGGCCGTCTTCATGAAGTTTCTGTAATTGAATTATTCCATGGAATGAGTGATTGTACTTTGAGAAATGATTGCTTTTTTGTTGGGATTTTTGTTCTCATGCCCACAAGTTCCATCTACCCAGGCATATGAATTTAGAGTTTTCCTTCTCCTAGACTGGTTGTCAACCATAGATGGATATCCCAATCTGTCCCGTTATTTAAAACAGTGTGGGAAGAAGAGATGAATCTGTACCCTTCCCTGAAGTATTTGCATAAAAGATAATGGAACAAACCCAACTGAAATTAAAATTTAGTTTGCCAATTTCTCATTCCAAGCTGCTAACACATCCTTAACATCTAGCAACCACCTGAAGAAGGCCGGAATGTACAACGGCCGAAACGTTGTAATAAATATGGCAACAAAGATGAGGACAATAGTCCGAATAATGTAGATAATGTATGTTTTAGATATTCTTGGTATTTCAAAATTGAGATCTAAATATGTTTGCAATATGTAATATGATAATTTTTTTTCTAATCCATCCCGTGACCCTCATGAGTGTACTGTGACTCTTGCTTGGGTCACATCCCTTGGTATATAACTTGTTTATACAGTCTTTTAATTATTTTCCACTCCACAACCTCTCTCCCACTGATGCAAGCTAATCACTAGTCTATTGCTATTTCATGGTAAATGTTCAGACAAGCTACATTGCCTACTTCCACCAATTCAGACCTTTACAGCTAAAACTCATCATGCCATGTACACTGTGGCAAACCATCCTCATTCATTTTGTATTTCATTGATAAGAAGGAAGTTTCATTCAGATAGCTTCTTCTCAAGAGCCACTTCTTTATGGAACAGACTCCTGTATGGTTGCTTTCCTAACATACTACAATTTTAAATTCTTTGAGTTCAGGATCAACTGTTATCTGTCCTGCATAATTACAATTCTTATGTACATAAAACAATTCATTCTACCTTGAGTGGCTCTTGGACCTTATATTAAGACAGCAATAGCATATAAAAAATTAGCACTGTTCTGATGATTATCTGATATTTCTCCATGATGACACTGATGTCACCTGCATTTATAAAGGAGTAACTCATATATTTTTTTCTTTTCTCTACCACATTAATATTTTTTTTTATTTAAGGCATTCTATGAATTCTCCATGATTTTGAATTGCTGCGCCACGTTTTTCCAAAATATCTAAGATTATTTAATTGCACCTCACTCTCCTACAGAGACAGTTAGCTTGATTGGCATTCAGAGATTGGTTGGTAGAAGTCAGGTGGGGTCTTTTTATTTATTTTTTTTCATGTAATTGAGTTCGCCCCAACCAAGGCAGTAAAGCCACTGAGACACAAGGGGTTACTACATGTGAAAGAGTTAGAAACAGGAACATTGATAAGGAGCAAGAATAGAGAAAGATTTATAAAGAGGACAGAAGATAGTGATTGATATTGTATTTAAATTTTTGCAGATTAAAGTTGGCTAGAAAGGATGGAGCCACAAGTGAGAAGTAATTTTTATATAGATCATAATCAAGCTGCATTGAGATTATCTGACTAATGAGGTTTTTCATACTGATTTATTTTTTCCTCAGTCCATAAGTGTCATGCTATAGAATAATGGTTTGTGAATCTATCCTGACTGAAAAGTAAGTTTGAACCTTACTGGGTGTCCCATACAGAATTCAGCATTAAATGACCTAACAAAGGCTGATATGGTGAAAAATCAACATCCCCTAACCACTATCCAATCATATAAGTGCGTATGAATCTATACATCACACTCCATGTCTTATAGACCTTGGGGATATTGCAAAATTCAGAACACGGTACACACATACATGAGAAATGCAAACACTACAGTCTTTCCCTGATTTCAAAGAAGTCTTACAAAAACTTCTGCTATGTACATTGTAAATTGTTTATTCTAAATTATATCTAAACAGAAAATTAATACTGTTAATTGGTTGAAGTAAAGCCATAATATTCATGCTTTTATCTTGCATAATTTATAAGATACGATGGTACATAATCTGAGAATGATTAGAGATTTTATGCAAATGAGAATCTAATGGAATAAGACAATTTGAAAGATTCTTAGTTTGACAGATTTGGTTGAAATAAAATCCATTTTTCTGATGATGCTCTTTGGTTAGCAAAACATTTAAAAATTTAACAAGTTTTCTTAATTATCTTATAAATTTTCTATATACATATGTAATTGTCTAAAACTGGTTATTTTGATGGGGAAGAGTGTTCAAGTATCACTGACAGATAACTTGAGGATATGAACCATGAAGACAGAGAAATCAAAAGGGAAACCATTTTTTTTTTGTTCTGGGGCAATTGTTTTGGATTATTTTATTATTAACTAAGTTTATTTAGGCTTATGACCAAATCACATCAAAACACCAGTTCCCGTACAATCACCAAAGTTAAGCAATGTTGAGCCTGGTCAGTACCTAGATGGGTGACTGCTTGGAAATACCAAGTGTTGTAAGCTTGGATGTGTGAGTAGTGTATTGGATAATGGCTCAGAATTGGAAATTAGAGAGCCAAGCTCCATATATATAATACTGGCATTACTGAAACCTTGAAAACAGCAAAAACAAACAAAGAAATTGGACCTAAACCATCAGAGAAAAGAAAAAGACAAAAATAAGAATCATAAAATATAAAATATAATACAAAGTGCTCAAGAATAAGAAAACAGAATAGAGCTGGAATCCAAACAGAAAAAAAAATCATTATAACTTCACATTTCACTTTATGAAGTGATCTACAGAACATCTAACAATCACTTCTTGATATGAAAAAGTGAAAGTTTTGTCTTTCTGTTTGATGTAATGGAATAACCTGTCACCCCTATGTGTGACTACATTTTAGGTAGTAACTACCTATAAGTATCCGTAAGGCAACAGACTACAAGAGTCTAGCTGGGATCTGTTGAGTACAACTCAGACTTACACAAGAACTACTGACCTTCCAATAGCAGCACTCACTACTGGTTTGTCTTGCAAAGATCATGTGCATAACTGTTACCTTTATTCTTATTGTACTGGTTTTTACAATAAAACTTTACTTATCTTATCCACCATATTTATCAAGTATATATTCCTATTTGCATGGAATATAACACTGATATTTTTTACATTGGATTATATTTGCACTCGTTTTTCCTTGTTTGATAATAAATCAAATCACTATTACCAGAAACAGTTGTTTGTTAGTTTTCAAAATTTAGATACAAAATAAAACATGACACTTAAAGTAAATAAGTATTATTTGAAGTAGGACTTTTCCTTAATAAAAAAAAAATATATATATATAATGCAGGTTCCATGGAATACGTTTTCTCAAGTGTGCAGTCCAATGGATGTAAAATTGGATGACTACTCAAACATGCACATCCACTAAAAATATCTAGTTACTTTTAATTTATTTCAATATCAGAGATATAGTTCTTGTAGATATAGACAGTGTGGACATTGGACTCAATACTGCATGGTCATTGTTAGTTTCATACTTCCATGAGATCTTCCAATCAATCTATCTTTCTCTCTCTCTCTCTCTCTCTCTATATATATATATATATATATAAATATATCTGTTCCATAAAAAAATTTCGCTTGAAGATGGAACAGAGCTTAGTACTTTAATTCAATTTAATTCAAATAATTATATTGAAGTTTTCGACTCTTGTTTTGAAACATGAGAACTCTTATGTAGCATGTTGGAATCATATTTTAAATAAATAATTATATATATATATATATATATATATATATATATATATATATATATATATATATAAATAATTAAGAAAGAGACAACTTTAAGGTTCCATGGCTATAATTTATTTCCCCAGAAAATATATTTTTCCTGGTTCATCAGGTCATATCTCTAGTTATAAAGGAATTTGGTGTATTTTATTTTATTTTTAATACAAGTTTTTTGAGGGTTGTGGATAATTTCAAAGAGGATGGCTAAAAGAAACCAGATTCATTTGTAACTAGAAATGTGACCTAATTAACCAGGAAAATATATTTTCTGGGGAAATAAATTATAGTTATGGAACCTTAAGGTTGTCTCTTTTTTAATTATTTAATTCATATATTCTCTGGTCTTGCATTGAGCTCTCTGGATTACATCCTCTTTGGAATTCCACATGGATTACCAAACCCTTTATTACCTTACTATATATATATATATATATATATATATATATATATATATATAATGCCAAACTGATTAGAGCTAAGATGGAATTGGTATTGAGCTAATACTATACTCTGATCTGAGGTAGAAAATCATAGTGGCTGTACATATGGATAAACAGACTCATATTATAGATATTTATCATTGCAGATATCATCAGTATATTAAATCATTTATATTGTTTTCTTAAATATTGTTAACAAGTCACCTTCAGTGATCATGTTGTTTTTAGACTGCAAGAATCTGGGGTTTTGACCTTTCCTCGGGTCTTGAGTTTCCTTGTTTTCATCTTTCAGGATTTGGGGAATGTACTCAGTACACACATTATTCTAAACATAACATTCAAACTCATTTTCTTGAGTGAGTTCTATTCAGTATTATTTTTAATATTTCTTTTCTTTTTATACTTTATCTTGTTGTGTTTATTAATATTATTATTATCATTATTATTATTACTTTGAAGGAGGGAATCAAGAAGGCCATATTTTTATACCTTTTGACTGAAATCTCTCTTTGTTGATATCATTTTATTTTCCCCACCACTCTCACACCCACAAACTCATTCACTAACTTTTTTTTCTGTACTTTGGCAACTACTTGAGTCAGGAAAGAACAAAACATTCATGAAAACAAAACAAAAAATAAAACCAATGATCATCACTTGTTTGGAAAGGAAGAAATAGTCTTAAATCTGACCTTCTTCATGGAAAAGGAGTCGGATCTGAAATGAGACCAGTTATCAGTCTTGTGATGTATAAAGAAGAGTTTTCCCAGCCACTCCTACATATCAGTTTGTCTCTGATCCAAGTACACATTCTCTTCTTGACGCCAACTGAATGCCTCAAACATCCTGCTCTGCCAGGAATCTGAAGTCGAAGGTCATGAATCATTGGATTCCAATGTTGTTTTTCTTCAGTTTGCCCCTGGTTCTTGACAGAGACTGTTTCTCAATATCTACTTGTTTTGTAAAGACCATTGATCCTGAGATTCTGTCGAAAATAATTTGCAGAATCCACATGATGGACACTAGCTGAGCAGTTCAAGTGAAATATTTTCACCAAACTAAGCAAAAAGATACTTTTGCAATATGATAACAGTAAAGTGAATTTTACAAACAATCACTTATAGTTTGGAGATAAGTACATTTTAGTTCTAAAATATTAGGCTGAGTCATAAATAATTTCTGTTTTGTTTATCATCTTTATTCTTCAAGAAATAAAGTACAATTAAATTTTATTTAATTAGATATTCACCACTATTTACAATGACTTGCTGACACTTATCAGGCTACTCTTTGGCACCTTTTAAATAAAAATATACAGGCTTTGATGTGAAAAAGTTTCTAACAAACTCTTGAATCTAGGTTTCTATGAGGGAAAGTTTTCCTGGTCAAAGCATTGATTGAAAACAGTGATAATTGGTTGGTGCAAAGTCATGTGAATATGGTGCATGGAATAGAACAGACCAGCCAAATTTCAAATTTTTTCCACATTATTCTTGTTGTATGCTGCCTTGTATTGTCAAGGAAGAGAACATTATTTTTGTTATTGACAAACACAGGGTGCTTTTCACAGGGCACTTTTATGAATATGTTGCTGCTGCTGACCCCATAATTGTGCATTTAATGTTACCTTGCATTTTAAAAATTCTAAATGATCAATACCCCAATGATCCCACCACACACTCAACATAAAATTTCTTCCATGGAGATAATCTTTTGACACAGTTGTTGAGATTTATCCTTGTCACTTTTGTGTTAAACATCATTGTATATTAGTGTACGAGCAATTTATTCTTAACTGCCATGTATGATTAGTAGTTAAGATGATATATTTGTCATTACAATTGGTTCCCAGAAATGGAAGTTACTTATGACACAACCTAACAAATTGTCAGATTACAACAGGATCTTCATGAGACAGAATTTAAAAAATAAATTAGGTTTGAATAATCAAATTAAATAACTAAATTTTCCTTGTCTGTCATATTCAGTGAAAGATGCTTAAAAGAAAGGTTTCTGCCAATATATATATATATATATACACACACATACATACACACACACACATATATATATATATATATATATATATATATATATATATATACATACAGAGTGTGATGAATGAATCGTCAACTAAATTGTGAAAAAATTAAAATAACACTGACATCTCAATTTAACAAATTACACAAATATATCTTAAAATAGTAAAGAGTAAATTTATTCAATAAAATCTTCATTGGCACCCACCACAGCCTCCAGATGACTTTGGAATCCCCTGTTACTCTTCTGTTCATGTTGGTGAATGCGCCCATAATCCCTCCCTTCAGCTCATTTTTAGTGTTACAAGGAGTTTTGCTGGTCCCTTGCTCAACTGTACCCCACACATAATAATCAAGGGAGTTGCAGTCTTGTGAGTTAAATGGCCAGTTGTAAGGGGTGATGTGATCACAGAAATTGTCTAATAGCCATGCCTGTGTTCTGTAGCATGGTGTAGAGTCCTGTTTGCAGACATAGAGTCTTTCAGCAGCTACCTTCTTGACCCAGAGCAGATCTACCTCCCTAACTATGGACCTGATTTACTTTGAGAAATCCAGAATGATCCCTCCAACAAATTTGGAAGTTCTTTTTTTATCAGAACAATCCGAGTTTTCTTTCCAAGCTGCTATACTTTTATAATCACCATTAGACTCATCCAACTCTTTCTGAATCCTCTGCACTGTCCTTAGATTGAAACCCAAACACTCTGAAATGTTCATATTTGGGCTTTTAACATGAATGCCAAAGAATTGAAACCCTGACAGTTAGGTCATCATGCAAATGTCATACCAACTGTTCCAACGGGCCTCTGTTCGGGTTTCAATTCTCGGTAGTGGATGCACACTGCTGATGAGTCCCAAATATAGGATGAAACGGCCGTCCAGTGCTTTCTGCATTCTGTTGAGGTTTCTTTCAGACTTGATGAATTACTTAAAAATATATATATATATATTGGGGAAATTGTGTATACATATATATATATATATATATATATATATACAATTTCCCCTATCTTATGGAGAGACAACTGTGAAAACTTAAGCAGTTGAAGTTCACTTACTGCCACAAAACTTATTTCTTGGGGATTCAAGGAGGCCATGGTTAAATTATTCAAATTTTTTGTATAATTGTTGAAGCTTGGATAAGCATGGAATAATAATAATACAACACAAAATGTACGTAAACAAAATGTATTGAAACAAGGAAAAGGTACACAATATTTACAGTTAGTTTTGGTATATT